TACTTTGTAATATTACTTTGTTCACAAATGATTTTTGTTTAACTGCTTTAAACTTCATTATGTAGTGGTTATGTTCATAACAGGAAAACATTTGGCCAGTCATACCATAGGTATTTCACCTCCTTGCTGATTCTTATGGTCTTGACTTTCTTGTTACAGTAACAAATACTTTAGAAATTAGACAAAGATAAGGACTAGAAACACAAAATACAAATTTCATATGTTTTCAGCTTAATAGTTCCCTTCTAGTTCAGCTACCCTGAGTTCCCACTCTTGTAACAGACATTAATACTTATACCTACTTATTGCGCATTTTTAAGTTAGAGGACTCAAAACACTTTACGCTACCTTGAATCATTCAACACACATCCATGGTAGCAAGCTATAATATAATGTAGCCACAGCTTCCATGCAACAGACTGACAGAAGCAGGGATGCCATATAGCCAGTGCCACCAAACCACCAACAGCATACAAGGTGGCTAAAGGGTCTTACCCATGGAGTGGCAACTGGCAACCCACCGGTACTGGATAAAACCTTGTCCGATATCATAGATCTTAAAGGAACTAGAGGCATGAATTGTGAAAAAATACACCTGCATGCCCATTTTTTTTAATGATAATGGGTGAATAAGCATTAAACCATAGAGCCCACCCATGTTTCTTTCTATTGCCTTGAATTGGCTGCCTGCTGCATAATACGCTCCAACAGGCCTAATTTCCCCAGCAGTCATAGGGATGTGACGTCAATAGACATTGCATGCACAGGTAGCAGTTGTTTCAGTTTTAGTAGAAGAAGAAGGCAAAAGCACCTATTTCTTTACTTGACACATTGCTTGTGCTGTTATAGAATATACGCTGTGATCTTGTGGTAAAACATCAGATATTAGACAGTGTTACAGCATCACCGGTGTATTGCTGTAAATATGGCCTGTCTGTGAAGTGTTTCTGCATGCTCCCATGCTGACTTGGCTGGTAGTTGATATTACCCACAGTGCCACTCTTGTCACTCGTGAGTCCCATCTCCTCATCCTGCCTCTAGTTCCCTTAACTCCAACTTATTACGTACTAAATGGACATTATCTTGCACACCTCTCCGGACATTTAAATGCATATCCTGGCAGGCGCTTAAGGGTCTTGTGATGCTAGTTGTGCCAGATTAGAAAATGAAGGCTAAAGGCAGCTAAGCTTAGTCAGCAGTAACACTAGGAATCTGAAACTCTCTCCCATCAATAAAAAAAGCTGTTATAAACAAGTAATTGTGGAACCGCTTTTGCAAAACCAGACATAAAAATTGTTAATGGTTTTGGTATTTTTTTTTCTTGTGTAAAACACTCTGTGGTGTCTCAAAAGGTCCTATATAAGTAGAATTTAAATTACAGCCTTGTACTTATATAGTGCTTTGGTCAAGTCCCATTGCATCTGTGATAAAACTAACAACATGAAGAAAATAACATCATATTTATAGTCAAACACAGTGTTTGCATTAGCATGGTTTGGGGTTTTTGGACCTAGAATAATTCCCTTATTAGATAGAATTACTTCTATTTTCTACCACCAAATCCTAAAGGAGAATCTGTTTAAAAATGATCTTTGTCTGATGGCAAAGCAATTGATTATATGAACATTTAAGTCGCACTCAATCTGTACGGCAGTCCAACCAACCAAAGAGATAATCTAATTTTATTTTAAAAGAAAAGTTGAAATAGTTTACATGAAAAATTAGAGCCAACAGAATCTGAATCTGTAACACCTGCCAAATCTAATTTAATCATAGTCCCTAAATAACAGCCGTTTGAGCTACCGTGGATCAAAAGCTGAAGGCTGAAGCCAAAAGATTAATCCCATAAAATTTTCCAAAGCAATTCCAAAAGTACACCCATGTTATAAACAATAGAAAAGCTCTTCTAAGGACTGCACATCACCCAGCCTCACCATCCAGCTCCACCTCACACCTGCTGTGTGCTGTGAGAGGAGAGAACAACTGGAGGCCCGAACACTGGGTGCTTGTATGCACGTTTGGGAGACAGAAGCACAAGTGGGCATGCGAGCTGTTGAATGAACGCCTGTTTTTACGTGCGCATGGATGTATAAGAATGCATCAGGGCTCGTGGCACAAAGCGTGGCCTCGGCTCGATTTAACCTTCTGCTGAATGCCACAGCGACGCCAGTCAGACTTTGTGTGGCCACATACCTCCAGTGAAAAAGATATGGAAAAAATCTGTGGACCAGTAAATCTTTGAGATTACATGGCTCCTCTTGGCTCTGGCCTCAATAATGCCTCAAATCCATCCTTGCGATATCACTGTTATTTGGGGATTTTATCAACAAAAAATAAAACAAAAAAGCCTTCTTCTTATTGTGACTGTTTACTAACACTTATGAATGCCTTAGAACAAGTTAGCATGTGTGTACAGAGAAGATTATCGATACATGACAGGGAAGATTATGTGCAGGAATAGCAGTGGATAAACTAAAACACAAGATTGCCTTTATTGTTCTTAATTGCCTCTGGGCTTCGATGAATGGCCAGCGCAGCTGTCTGTGTGAACAGCTGCCAGCCCAAAAAGGTTGGACCAAGCAGCCTCTGGTGTGAAGGGAAGAACAGCACAGCAAGAATCCTGTGCAGACAATGAAGGATTTTACAAGTTCACAACTCTGAGAATAAAAAATGCATGCTGGATTAAGAATCCCTTATTGGAAAATCACATTTGTTTCCGAAGCATTTTTTCCCAGGGAAAACTTACAAAGATGCATTATCTGGGCTGTCCGAGCAAAGCAGAAACAGCATGGGGAGTTATTGCATGAAGTTAACTAAGACAGATACTGTTTTCTTCTTCTTTCTGCTTTGTTAATGTGAAATTTGTGCATTTATAACAAACAACATCCAGCTGTGGAAAAGCAAAAACTAATTTAATCTGAATGACTTGATAAAGAAGCCCATATGGAATCTCTGCACAAAAGTTTGTCAGACTTGAATTAAGTACTGTTGTTTTGCTCGCTCCCTCCGTCTGCCTCAGCCTCAGGCCTTGTGGCTGACTGCTTCACATCTATAAATCACTGAAAACGCATGCTTATATCCTGAAGCAAGCACATTAAGACAGCCTGGCAAGTAACATTCACTTTCTAGCCTGGCCTGTTTGCAGAAGCCATCCGATAACCGAGTACATATTATAGGGCATGATTCCTCTTGTTTGCAAATTCTGTACATATTATGTTTTAACGATGATGCCACATAAAAGGGTTGGATGCAGATGAAGCTGTGGCTGCATTCTGTTTTGGAGATTGTTACCAAGCACTCACTGCAGTGTCTCAGGTGTTCAAATACTGAAAATAGAGCTCAAAGAGAAAGAATTTGAGTTGGAGTGGGTGTGGGATGTGGAATCTGGTTTAAAAAAAATGAAACCAAGACATGCTCAGCAGCTAAGGTTTCTCATGTCATTCTATAAAATTTCATTGTATTTGTGCACCACCTGTGAACATAGCAATCCTATAGTAACTTTAGAAATAAGTGATCGTTTGATATTTTGTCCTTTTACAGACAAATGTAAACATTTTGTAGTAGAAATGAATGAGGTAGAGCAACAGAAAGTGAATCATAGTAAAATGTAAAAAGTAAAAGTAAAAAGACATATACATCAATATATGTTGTTTAAAAAATCTTAAAATACAAGATCTTAAAATACAATGGGTGAAATTTACACTCTATTTGTGTAAGAAGACTATTTCTACAGATATTTAAAAAAAGGTTCCTGATCAAGTAAAGGAAAGCTGGCCATTTTTAATGAAACAGTGTATGGAGCACATTACAAGACAATATTGGAAGTAAAATCTGTCAGACTATTCCAAGGATTTTTAAACTGCTAATAGATTAACTTTTCAGTATTACAACCTGTAAACATCGTAATTTCCAGTAAAGGAATTTTTTTCTATTCGATTCTAATCTCAAATTTCCAGTCAAAGCTACAAAAGAACTTTATAGATTGAACCATATTAGGCTACTTTGTAAAATTGGTCCAGTCAAAGTCCAGATAAAAACTGAGAATCTGTAACAATAGATTCTCTTGAAAATCAATCCAGTTTGACGGAATTTTTGTTGTTCTGCAGAAAAATAAGCATAAATCGTAGTTTTTAGATGCGGAAAACTTATGGACAGAAAAACTCCAAAACACATCTGTCTATCTACTATTGCTTGTCTTTCAGAGTCATGGGGGGCTGGTGCCTATCTCCAGCACTCTGAGCAAAGGTAGGGTACGCCCTGAACAGGTCACCATTCCACTGCTGGGCAACACTAGACATACAACCATACACACACACTCTCCCACCTAAGGGCATCTTTGGACTGAGGGAGGAAGATAGAGTGTCCGGAAAGAACCAATGCATGCATATGGAGAACATGCAAACCCCATGCAAAAACTCAGTAGGCCAGGATAAAAAATCAGGAGCTTCTTGCTGCAAGGTAACGATGTTCCACACTGCACCACTGTTTATGCACACTGCACATCTGTTTATGCCCACTCCAAGCCATCTGTGTTTAAATTCAGCCAAAGCTTACACAATCTACTCCTTTTAAGATGCATAGAAATGAATTTCACATCTTAGATTTTGTTTTTTTACTGAACATTATTTGTCCTTTTATTCATAGCTTGCAGTTTTTGATTTGTTTGAGCTTATCAAAAAAAATATATATAATGCTAAATAAAACATTTTAAAGTTTGCAGCTGTAACATGACAAAATGTAAGAGTTGTATGCAATGTATCTTAAGGACAGGTTTGTGGTTTTGCCAGCATGTGATCGTGCATTAGTGCTTTTTCCATCTGATGCTTTCATTTTACTTTCTCTTCTTAGAAGCGCCCTGCCCAGATATGTAGGAATTAGGCCACATCACTCACTACCAACTTACTCAAATCAAAGTGCCGAATCGTGAAACGAGCAGCTGGTGTCATGTGCCTTCATTCCAAATGGCTATCTGCCCCCGTTACTAGCCTGGGTTCTTAGTTGGCCAGCTGAAGTCGTAGGGGGAGAGAGGGTTAAGGGTGGCTGACATTACAAGCTCTTGTCAGAAAAGTCCCCCCAGCTTGCAAATTTATCCAAGGTAAGCTTCTTTTTTGTGCATGACTCATAATGTTCCCAGATCGTTTCTCACCTAAGGCTGCTTATTAAGATTAAGTGATAACTTTGTGCCATAATGCAATAACTTATTAATTTAAAAGGCAGTTTACTGTCATTGCCAGAGCTGTGGTGAGCTGAATATCTTTTGTGACATGACAAAGCGCTGACAAGTTTTGTCTTGGTTGCCTTCCCACTATGCATGATTCCATTACTTTAATAAGGAGTGGCTCATGTGCTAAGAAGTGGTAAACATCTGATGCAATGCAAAAATGAAGTATAACAGACATTATGAATTTTCCTTCACATTACCGAATTTTGCTACGAACACAATACACTAGACTAATTCTTTATCTACCACATTTTCCTCTAATCATACATTGTTTTTATATACATCAAAAAATCAAACTTGATTGAAAATATGATTGAAAAAATACTGCCATACTTACACTTGTTTCTCTGACTGGCATCCCATCTATTCCTGGTTCAGGACAGTTGTCCAGGGGGGAAGGGTAAAAACAATGGGCAGCTGACTAAGAGAGGGCTTTGACACAACTCTAGAATAACCTCTGAGTATGGAAGTCAACAACCAGTAAAGTCAGATGGGTGTTGAAAAAAAACAGAACCAGTGGGGGGAGAATTAACAGAGATGTTTATGCACTTTTATTTCATTGAGGAACTTGCAAAACATTAAAGATAGGTCCCTACAGAGTACAACTATAGGGAAAGTGGGAAAGTCAAGTTTTCATTAAACCAAAACCAGACGTAGAGTTGTAGCTGTTGATAAAGGCCAGCTAACAAGCTATAACTCTAAAGAGAGCACCCTTTATTATTATTTGCACCTGTGGTGAAGTTTTGTGCAAAAGCCTTCCAGAGAATAGTTGTCATGGAGACATGGTTACCCCAAAAGGCTAGTCTTTATGCAGGTATCTAATTATATTATCACACCTGGATAGTCCTGGTTACTGTTTATTTGGGTGAGAAATGCTGATAAACTTAACTTCTTTGTGTGATGGGGTTCAGTGTAAAACTGCACTTTTAGAGTGCCTTCTCAACAAACCGTTTGGGCCAATTTTAACCATGCCAGAATCCAGTTTTACAGAAGTCAGATTGATCCCAATCCTTTCAAAAGACAGCACCGGTACAGCTATGCATTTATGACTGATGCATCTGGATCCTGGAAGGGTTTATTTGCAGTGAGACGGTCTGCCCTTTACTGCATGCAATAGGAGACGATGTGATGGGCTGTAAGAACACTGTATTCAAGTGGAAGATGGTAATTGGTAAATGGCCTTTCCTTATATCAGGGGTGGGCAATTCCAGTTCCTGAGGGCCGGTATCCTGCAACTTTTAGATGTGCCTTTGGTTGGACACACCTGAATCAAGTAATTAGATGATTGAGAGGACTCTGGAATAACTTAGTGCATGCTGAGGAGGTAACACAGCCATTTGATTCAGGTGTGTTGGACCAGTGATGGATTTAAACGTTGCAGGATACCGGCCCTCAGGAACTGGAATTGCCCACCCCTGCCTTATATAGTGCTTTTGGCAAGTCAGGAGACCTGACCAAAGCGCTTTAAAATCACACACTGATGGGGGCAAGCTACATTGGAGCCACAGCTGCCCTGGGGCTCACTGACTAAAGTAAGCCTGCCGTACACTGGCTCCACCAGTCCTTCCGACCACCATCAGCAGGCAATGCAGGCGAAGTGTCTTGCCCAAGGGCACAACCACACTGAAACCCTCTGGCTGCAGGAAAAACTCCTTCATCCAACGTCACTGTCAGATGAAAAGGAAGATGAAAAGAAAGGAAAATTAACTAAAATTCAAAGACAAAATAGCTTAAACTGTCTTGTGGGGTTACATAGTTTAGTAGAGACATGAAGATGAATACGGTAACTACATTTTAACACCAAAGTCTTAACATTAACCCCATAAGATGAGTTTTCTTCATGACTTTTTTTCTTCATGATCAGTAAAATCACCGATTGAAGCCGTTTGGCGTGGTCTAAATATCGGTGTAAATTGTGTGACTTTAAAAATTCATCTGTCTAATCCCTGGACTGCCCAGACTTGATCAGCAGTGTAGAGAAGTTGCCCAGTATGACTAACAGGCAGTGATCAATCCAGGGGTTGCTCTTTTGAGCTTATACCATCACTTTCAGGTGGACCAGATGTTACCAGTTTGGATGAGCCTTTGGACATGCTCAAATGAAGCAGACAATATGAAGCATAAACTGTGGTCCATTTAAAGTAACAAATGTAAAAGCTTTGGAATTGTTTTTGTTGTAATTACTGCACCCTGTGTAGTGTGAATATAAACGTGAGTCTGCATCAAGTCTTGAATGTTATAGTCCTTACTACATGAAGGTTTTTCTTGTCTTAGGGATGCCAGTGCCAGTTTTTTAGACACACAGAGTGTATACAAAACGAAATTTTGCTCAGTACAACACTCACAACATTTCCATTTCTAAAGTGCAGCACTGATAAAATGTAAACATGGCAATCAAATGTAAACATAAGACTGGTATATGATTTACAGTCTTTCCAACATTCAGCATTTTTTTAACCCTGTTTTATACAACATTAAGCTTTCTAATGGAGGTGGGGAAGATGCCTCTTCCCAGAGGCCAGCAGGGCAAACAATCCATAGTGGGGGTGTGAGGTCAGTTTAGTACTACGGGCTCAGGATATGCAGCGCTGGGATGAAATGTCTTTTATTGATGGAAGAGCAGCCTTGATGATCTTCTTTGCAGTTCTCATTAGTCTCCTTACCTTCTTTCAGTCTGAGGCACTGCAGCCTCCACCCCACGCAGTGAAACAGCTGTTCAGAACACTCTCTATTGTCCTTCTGCAGAAGGCTGTGAGGATGGGTGAGGGCAGGTGGGCTCTCATCCTCCAAAGGAAGTACATATGTCTTTGTGCCCTTTTGACCAGTGAGGTGGTGTTTACAGTCCAGGTGAGGGTGTCTGTGATGTGCACCCCCAGGGATTTGGTGCTGCTGACCACCTCTACAGCTGTTGATGAGCATTAGAGTGTGGTTAGGCCGGTTCTTTCTGAAGTCAACTATGATCTCCTTAGTTTTCTCTACGTTCAGGATCAGGTTGTTGTCTCTGCACCAGTCTACCAGCTGCTCCACCTCCTCTCTGTAGTCCTGGTCATTGTCCCTGATGAGACCCACCACCGTGGTGTCGTTTGCGAACTTGAGTCATGTGTCATCATCAGGGTGAACAGCAGGAGGCTCAAGACACAGCCCTAAGGGGATCATGTCCTGAGGGTGATGACATCACAGGTGTTCTGTCCGACCCAGACTTACTGAGGTCTGTCTTTTTAAGACAAACAGATGTAATCCATAACTCAAATATATAAATGAATCAGTACAATAAAATACAGTTTTGTGCATCAGCCTTATAATAATGAATAACATTATTTGAGTCCCAACTTTGAAGAAATCTAATCACAATCAAATATAATGGCAATCAATAAAAGGATATTGATCTAAGGAATACTGGGAGAAGTATGAGGTCACAGAATTTGCAGTGAGTAACTGAAGCAGTGCGCATTCAAAAATGATTGTTTAGGTTGGGGTCTCAGCCACCAATGCAAGTAAAGTTTCCCAAAACCAGACGATTTATGCAGGCACTTGGTTTAAAACAGGTTAAAAACAACATATTAAAGTGTTATTCTTAAGCTGTCTTATTGGGGACCAGATTATCATGATTTAAATAATAACGTGAATTTTACTTCTGGTAGAATCAGTTCAATATGATGTGTTGCAGTAAATTATAGTGGTACCTAAAAGTTACAGATTAATATTCAAAAGCTCATAGCCTCTCAGATGTGCTTAAAAGTTAAGGGTGATATTATATTGCACTAAAATTGTAATTATTTTAAAACATTCTTTAACCTTCTTTACCAAAGACCCAGAAAATGTGAAGGAGGCCGTTTACATCATAGATCTCTGGTTTCAAGCATAAAAAAGAGTTTAGGTATTTTTTTTTTAACTATGAAAATAAATTGAAAATAAAAAGGTTATTTCTCAAAATCAATTTTTTTGTAAAGCCAAAGATACAGCTTCAGTATGCTGCTCCGAAAAATGTAATACCCGGTGCTCGAAAAGGTTAAGTACTCATTTAATTGCAATTTGATTGCAACTAAACCGGAGCAAGTATTTTGCTATAAGAGGGAAAACAGTGTTAATATAGCTTTTGTCTATTTGTCTCTGAAATGTGCTGGCATGTTACTTGGATCAACTCAAGATTTGGTAAGAAATTAATAATTTTAATAATTCTCATAGACAATCTCTTTGACTGCAGCAAAGCCCTCATTCATATAGATTATGTCATGCATACATTTTTTCTCCATTGCAAAGGGAAGAATGCAGCAGTTAATACTGACTCTATTGCGTGTTGGACACCCTTCCTCTGTTGTCCTTCAGATATAAGGATCTAGTTTACTTCTTAGAGAAAAACACGTCAATTTCTAATGTCCCCGTTACACCTTGACGAATTAGCCAGCGAACCAAAAACCTTGCAAAAACGCTGACATACGCTGGATAAGCTATGGATACGTTTTGTATAAGTTATGAGCACACGAAAGTACACTGATGCACATGGAAACGTTGACATACGGCGAGTATGTCGAGAGCATATGCTCATACATGGGCCATAAGTTACAGGTAAGTTATCTGATCGTTGATATATGTTAAGTCTAAGTTACTCAGAAGTTGTGGTGTCTAGCTTATCCAAAACCTATGAGTAACTTGTGTATACCTTATGCGTAACCTATCAAGAACTTATCACCAACGCATATCAATTTATCGGACATGTTCCAGACGACCACTGAACGTGTTTCTAACCTACAGCTACTGCATATTGGCACCTTTTTGATATAAAAGGGGGTTCACAGGAGGAAACCGTTAATACTCATCCAGACTTCATCCCCATCATCGGGTGAGCAAGAAGGTGAGTCTGATGGATCCTCCCTGTGTTCATGGTCATGGCCACGACAAACAAACTTCCTTGCAAACATGACGTTGAATCTCCTTTTGGTGGGCAGTTAACAGCAGCTAGGTCAATACAGTGATCAAAGATATTTTTTTCTGCAGGCCCGGGTGCCTCCGGGCGCGTTGCTGCCCCCCTCAGGGCACTGGTTTGTGCATCATTTCATGGGCCTTACACTACCATGCGTTATGTATAAGTCAGGCTGTCGTTGGAAATAAGTTCTGGACTTGTTATTAATACTCTATGTTTATGCCCAAGATTTAAAAAATACATAGAAAGTTCAGCGTATGCCAGCATTTTACTATATATGCCTGTAAAATGTTCTGACTCTTGAAGGAGGCGGTCGCACTATCCTGCTGCTCTGAAACTCCCTGCTATGTTTCTGCTTTGCTGTGTCTTGTCTTTTCTGACCTCTCTCTTCATATCACCTGACTTCAAACAATGGATCTGGTCAGATGGTCTCTCAATCAATCACATTTTTCTCAACTAGAGGACATGGAAAAGGGACGCTTCCTGTCCTGCTTGGACATACTTCGTGGGATACACCATAGACTCCTGGAAAGGTTGGAGAATGGTGCGTTTTATGATGTTTTCAGTGGCGGATGTCCAAGATGCTTGAATTTTTAGATTAATGATACTTGCATTTCTCGTGTTTGGATTTTGAGGATATCTGATCTATCTGCAATTACAGAGGATATTGGCGGCAATTTGGGCTTTGATCAGGCTGCTGGCGGCAGCTGACACGCTCACAAAGGCTTTGCACGAGCCGGACCGTGGGCTGAGCCATAAGCTGGTTGCGATTGAACGCAGGCTGGTTGTGGGTGTTGAACTCAAAGGTGAGATGGGATAATATCTTGGATGTGCACGTTTGCTTCAAGGTGGAAAAACCCAACAAATTTGCAACACTGGATTCGGCATGTGGAGCCAGCAAGAAAAGACTCAAAAGCTGATGGAAAATTTCTGAGCAGCCTTCTCTAGAAAGAACTGTTATTTTGGATTCGGCTTCCCCAATATCAAAATCTCCCTTAGAAGTTATGGTGGAAGGGAACACCTGTGGATGCATCCAGAACTGTAGCACCATTGATAAACTTCCATCCTATGAAGGACAATTGCCTGTGGAAAGCATTCATGGAAAACTTTAATGCACTCACAAGATTGACTTTCATGTGGCTCCAGCCTCAAATGTTTCCCTTCTGCTGAAATGTTTGTCTCGTGTTACATATGTTTTTTTTTTTCTGCTTAGGTGTTTTTTAATATCTCAAACTGCATCCTGTCAAGAATAAAGTGTGAAATAAGGTTTTTTTTTGTTACCCCTCTCCCTCCCCAATTTGGCTCCTATCTTTCCACAGAGGTAAAGGCAGCGCTATAAGGTAACCGCCTCACGGTGCGGCCCTTGGCAGCAGTAAGAACGTGCACACGGCAGCGTTCTGTGGCACGCATGGCCTCAGTAAATCGTTCCCCCTGTCAGCCCCCCTTCCCAACCCAATGTATGTGATGTATGTGATGAATAAATCACATACAATACAGTTTGTAGTGAAACTGAAATCTCAATAACAATGCAAGTTGTAGTTGACAATAAATAAATTGATTGATTGGTTGGATTTAGGAGATTCTGGGATGTCAGGCATAAGCGGTCTAAATCTGCAAGGTGTCACAGGGCCCTAAAAACCAGAAGAACCAGACAGAATGTCATGAATACTAAGACATAAGCAGATCTGGTACATATCAAAACAAAAGCGTTTTAATTCATCCAGGTGATACAAAATGTTGGAGCGCCCAAAAAAAATGTTGCCAGTGTGAAGCCTGCCTCAATGTACTTTGAATGCTGTTGCCATGGTTATTTTGACATTTGACATGCTCTCTGACTATGTATAGTACACTCTAGCTATTACCTTGCATCTTTAGGAGTGGGGACTGAGCCTTCCAGCTAGTTTTTTGCACATCCCTATATTTTCCCAAATTTTGGGATTTATAAAGGAAAGATTTAACACAACATGTTTGCAGTTTTATGGTTCCACATTTTTTTGTGTAATTTCAAAATTTCTCACTACTACCACAATTTAGTACTGAACCAACATACTTTTTTACACGAGGCCACAGATGAGACATCACTATAAAATATGGTTGAGAAATAATAATTAAACGGTTGTTTTCAATATCTAGGCATAGTTTGCTGCAAGAAAATGTGGTTACAGTACTCAGTATTTTTCTTGTTTTTTGGCATTTTTTCCCCAGTTGATTTAAAGAAAAGGTAGAACATAATACAACATTTTCAAATAACTTACAATTGTATAAACTTGGCATTTATTTCAAAATAAACGTATCATTAAACTTGTGATTAAGTAAAAGGGTAAAAAAACAAATCATTTTGAAGACAAAGTTGAACTGAAAAAGAAGGAACAGTTTAACAGAACTCCAGCTTGCAAACTGGCAATTCTATAAAAAAAAAAGGTCAAATACAAAGCAACCAAAACTATGAAGCTACAAAATGGAATTGGCAAACTGATCGGCACTCAGCATTTTATAACCTGAGCAAAACATCTTTGACTTATTTAGAATATACTGAGCTATCTAGATCCATTTTATTAATGATTACCAGCTGCTTTAAAGCTGCTTTAAACCAAGGAATATATTTTTGTATTATATCAACCTGAATAGTCAGAAAATGAGTGTAAAGCTGACATGTCTAGAGGCATGCAAGCATCTTGAATTCTGACAGTGAGGAGAGCTGACAGGAGAGAGACAAGACATGTTCAAACAGCTCTGTGTTTTGGAATAAGCCTGATGGGCTGCTCAGTGAAGCCACCTTGAATTGTTTTTGCTGCTTGCTGAAGAAACTGGAAAGGAAAACACAGTAGAAGTATAATAAAGAACAGTTAAGATTGGGGGAGAATAGACACTCATATATCCACGTATACACGTACACAGCCATGTAAGCAGGGCGTGGGTCAGAGGTCAAATGGCCCTGAACTCTCTTCCTTCAGGTTGAGCACATCAGAAGTTCCTCTGTGTGCTGCTCTCCATTTATTTTACTCATCATCCCTCATCAGGCAGGGATGCCCTCTGACCTCAGTGCTAGGGTTACCTGTCAGTGGACTGTCTATTCGTGAGCACGGGGCATGAAGCTTTGGTAACATTTGTCTTTAGTGAGAAAAAAGAAACAAAGAATAGAGGGAGTGATTATTTGCAGTCATCTTGAATTTAGTTACAAAAACCTTCGTTTTAATATTTTTGCTTCACATTTAGATTTCAACAAGCTCTCTTCGTGGATGACAAGCATGTGTTTACTAAAGGACAAAAGATCGGAAAGAGCAAAGTTAACAGATGCCAGTGTACTAATTCTTACTTTATTTACCTACAAAAAAACACCCTAAAAGCATCCTAGTATGTGCTGTCAGCTATCAATCAGAGAGCCGTAAGTGGGATCCTTGAGTGAAGATGCTATCAGCCCTGCCTCATATACACTCACACCACAGTTTCCTTATCTCTGTACAGATAACAGATCCCCTTTCACAGCGAGCGACCAGCCACACTCCTCTTTTAAGATCTCTTTCTCCTTCTGTGTCTCAGCTGTGCTATAAGCCGCTTCAATTCAAACAGGGGCCTTAAAATAACAAACAAAAAAAAACAGAAAAAAAACAGCCAATTTGTTCTTGTTCCTGTGTAAAATTCAATAACTGTGCCTCTTGCATTTTAGCAGTGTGGTGCTTGCAGAGGCCACAGAGGGAGCACACTACTGATTCTAATCTCTGATGCTATCAGCCGCTGGCAGAAACATGATACATGTCTCAGTTTACAAATCTAGATGGGCGTGAAATTAAACGAAAATCAGATGAATGGAACATTATTAGTTTCCTGCGCCTGTACCTTATTGTTATTAATGTCAAACAATGTATTTCTGAAAATAAATTAATCAGATTTTTGTGTCTGCTGGTAAGAAAACACATTGTTTAATCCTATGGAGTAAATTTGAGATCTTGTGAGACCTTGAGACAATTTATAAATTTTGCTTTAATTTTTGTTGACAGTGGGCCATTAGGACAGTTCTGCTCTTTCCTTGTTTTTGGGGACTTCCACAAGACCACAGCAAGTTGAGCCTAATAACAAAAACAAGCATCCTGGTGTGGAACTGGTCCCACAGTGTGAGGACCTTAATGAGGAACATGTGGAGCTACCCAGACACACTGTCAGAGGAAACCTAATCCCTCACTCCCTTCTTTTTTTCACCCTCTTTTCCACCTCCCTTCCCCCCATCCCTACCATTCTTTCTTCCTTACTCTCCTTCGGCTGTGCTCAGTGTTCTCTGTGTCCTGTCTTTTCACTTTGTACTGTTACTTTTAGCTCCTCTCTACTTCAAACAAACTAGTTTGCCTATGCCTTCATTTTTCTATCAGATGGAGGTGTCATTTTAGTATCTGCACCTTTTCCAATAATGTAGGTTAGGTTTTTACTCATTTTATCTAATGTTTACCCACCAGTGCTTGATCTTTTTCCCATTTCTTTTAGCCTCAATAATGCATATATGCTGGCATGCAACACAATCTGCTTACAAGGAAAGAGAGGAAAAGAAAGAGCTCTTTCTCCACACATCAAGCTTGACAGGTGGTCTCTAGGTTCCTTTTATGTGCTGAATTCATCCTTACCATCCACCTGGATCAATTCACTGTTTGCTTCAGTGGCCATTGGTGCTTCAGTGTGGAACGTCAAATCATTCAGTAGAAAGAAGCTTACTGAGAAAAATCTAAGGCTAAATTTTTAGCCTTCCACTTTCTAAATGGACTTTGTTGACTAAAGCGTATTTATTTCCACTAATAAAGGTAAATACTGTGCTTTCTTTCTCAGGAAATGCCTCATTGTGCCTTTGAAGAAACACACGATAGCAGGTGAGGACATACTTCTTACGTTTGTGTTCACAAGCAGTCATAGAGAAAATTATAACCAATACCTTTATTTTTGGTGGTGGTGATAATGGGGGGTGGGGGGGTTCAAATAATACCACAAAACACACCTCATAGGAGTTTAAAATAGGCGAGCCTCCAAAGTTAGCTGAATAAACAGGGTAAGGGAGATCCCTCAAGGGGTTAAGAATGGCACACCATATCCAATGTGATGAAAGCCCTTAAACAAATAGTTTTTTAAGTCAGGATGTGTTAGCAGGTTATAAGCAGCTACTATTTTGCCTGCAGTAAAAAAAAAATATGGTGGGGGAATATTCTTCCGCAATTCAAACAATGCTCCAATCTCAAAAACTATACAAATTGTTAACATGTTCTTTGTAGAAAACCCATTGACTACACTGGTGATGTACCACCAATGACTTTCCTGTGTGAAACACTCTCATTTAACATTTAACACAAGTTAACCAGACGTTAAAATTGTATGAAATGCCATTAATTCATAGCTGCTAAGTTTCATTTTATCTCAATCTGACATACTTCTTATATGTAGAAGCTACTCTGCTCTGATTGTGTCATATGTTTGGTTCTGTCTAAGGGTTCCCACAAAATGAAAATGTTGGAAACTCTCCCCTCATCCAACAAATCTCATAAAAAGCTATCAAAACACTATGAAGCCACATACAAGTCTTTTAAAGTAAGCCTCAATGTATTGACTCTGGACATTCTTTAGCTTTTTGAAAACTAGATCATTATTTGGTACTAAACTAGAAAGTAATAATAATGCGTATACTGTTGAAACATGTGACCTGTACACCAAGTGTATACATATCGGACCTTCCCCAAAATAACCCTGTAAAACTCTTTCATGGGATTGGGGCGACCACCTGAATCCCACAATTGTATGACTAAAACAGCCTACTGCATGTGTACAGAGAACCCAGTGATCCAACGACTGTCTGGGTTCACTTCTCTCTCATAAAATCCCAGGGAGGGCACAGAAGGAGACCCAAAACTACAATCCTAATGGTCCAGCAGCACCCAAACAAATCATGGGCCCTGGATTTAACCACAGAAATTGCACAAACCTTAAGTCAAGTGAGCATGTTTATGTAGTAATTCGCATGCAGGTTAAAAATTCTTTGCTCAAATGCCACAAAAAGACCCACAATGTATCTGAGGCGAAAAAGACGGAAATCTGGTGGGTCTGTGTGCCTCGCAGATGGTTCAGCCTCTCAGCAGCTGTGCAAATGAAAGACAGAGTGTCGCTGAAGGAGTGAGGAAGATGGAAAGTTGGCCACGCAGGGATAGAGTAACATACAAGAGGCTAAATGGAAAAAGTAATGGAAAATTTCATAGTGTGCTGATATTTACGGAAAGAAAATCCTTCGGTGAACACTGTATTCTGAATTTTAAATGGTTCCCGTTCTAAACTAGGACAGCTATGTTTGGTATTTATCTCTCACAACTGTCAGTCCAAGCCCAATATTTAGGCTCTGAGTGTGGTGTTAGAAAACAACAGGTGACAAAATCCTGCTGATGCTGAAAACTCACACATTTGTTCTTGGTGGGAGGTGGGAGGGAGAGTAGAAAAAACAAAAAACAAGAAAAAAAAAAAACAGGATCTTTGTGCCTCAACTAAAAAGTTACCTGTGAACAGAATCAGCTTTAGCTTTGCTCTTGATCCTGATCTTGCTTTGATTAGCCATAAAGCACTAGCTTTTAGGTAAATTAAAACAGCTATGCAGACAAAAAAGAGGAAAGTTTGATACAAAATATGTCTTATTTACATTAAAATAGAACCGCATTTGAAAACAATTCAAACTACATTAAAAAAATCATATAAAAACCTTAAAACAAGCTGCAGTAGAATCACATAATTAGAAAAACAATGCAGAGTGAACATCATAATGGAAATTACGGTAGTGATTATTAGTTGAGTCAACCATGCAAAAGGATTTTTCCCCCCAAACTTTTATTGTTATTACACTGTCACAATTACAGAGCAATGAAATGAACTCTCTGTATTTAAGCCATCCCCTTGGGTAGCAGGGGGACACCATTGTGCAGAGCCCGGGGAGCATTGTGGGGTTAAAGGTCTTTTGTTCAGGAACTCAGAGTGGCCGGCTGTGGGAGTGGGGCTTGAACTCAGAACCTCAGGATTCCAAGTTCTATGTCCTAACCACTAGGCACTATTCCCCCAAATGTCCCCTAAAATCTAGGGCCCAGGGCCCGGTGGAACTTTAACTTTGCTACTCAAAATGTTCTTTATTGCTTATGCTCTTAATAAACTGACTATGTGTGCAAGGGTGTAACTTTGTGAGGAAAGTTGGTGGGGACACTTTAAGAGTGGTGGCTGATGGACCTACAGTACAGTTACTTGACACAGATGCTTTCAATAGGGTTTGTATTTTCCAAAATTGAGCTCAAACATAGATCTATTGAATGGTTTCCTATTGTTGAGAACACAAGAGAACCAAAATAAACTGATAATTATATTTATGTGTAGTTAGACATTAAAGTATATTAAAAAAAAAGGATGAATAACAGCCGATTATGATGCTAACAGCAATATATCATGCCTCCCTAGTATGCACACAATTTCAGTTTCATTCATCCATCCATCCATCCATCCATCAGTCCATCCAGAAAAATGTGGATTGATTGATTGGATGTTTTCCCTTTCCACTACATCAGTGATTATCCTCCTTCAAAAGCAGCAAAATCAAATTTAGAAATGTGTCCCACATATTGCTGAGTACGGAAGAGAATTAGGGCCACTGAAGAAAAAAAAAAAGTTAACTGACTTTTTAACTGAATTCTGGGGTTAAAATCAGAATTCTGACATTAAAGACAGAGTTCTGAGAAAAAAAGTCAGAATTCTGAGATTAAAGTCACAATTCTGAGATTTAAAAAAAAGTCGATATTCTTAGAATAAAGTTAGAATTCTGAGATTAAAGTCAGAATTCTGACTTTTTTCTCATATTATACTGAAATAAAATCGAAAAATCAGTTAACTTTTTTTTTTTTTTTTTTCCAGTGGCCCCAATCATCTTCCGTAGCTGAGAGCAAAAGTCTATTGAAATTATTGGTGTCCCCACCAGTCCTTCAGAAAGTTACGTCTGTGTTCGTGTGGCAGTGTAGAAAAAACATGGACTGTGTTGTTTATAACTTTCAGAATCCATGAAGTTTTATTCAGGATAATCTTAATTTCACACCGTTCTTCTCACTGTTGTTTAAAGCCTTTTTTCCCCACTGTCTCCCCACCCCCTCAGTAATTACTGCATGTTAATATCAAGTGGTTAGCGAATAATTGGTCTTTCATTAGCCAGCAATCAGCCCTGGGCCCCGTCTACGCTTTCAGGGCCCTCCCCCTGAAGACAGGGCCCCCTTTTTGACTGACAGCGCTTTGGGAAGGCTCACTGATTCTGTGTGATTTCCCGCAGCCGCAGCGTCGATGAGAAGCAGTCGAAGAACTCCATTCTAACTGAATGGATTGGCATGGGGAGAAGCGGACCTCAAATCACGGCTAAGCGGCAGCTTTGGGACTGTTTAAGCTTCACGATGGTTTTACTTGCTCTGCTGTTTCGATCAGGTAAGAAGAACAGCTTTTTTTTCCTCCCTTTCTTCTCTCCCCCAGCCCTTCTCCCCCACTCCCATGCATGAGTCCCTGAAACGGATGTGTAGCAGGGAAAGTTAACTTTTTACTAAAAAGTTGTTGAATATGAACTCCTTGCTCCTTTTTTAAAACGCTTTGCATATTTGTTCCAAAGTTGTACAGCTTTAACTCAAACGCTACGAGTGTTTTTGGAAAGTTTTTCGGTCCGCAGCTGAAACAAAGTAATGTTGTTTCCCAGCCTCCTGTCCGCTCTACTAGCTGACCAGCACGAGTCCTCCATCACCAACCTTAGAGCTATTTATTACTGTTTTAACAACTCATAACCACTCTAAACAACGTGTTTCTAAAAGTTAAACGGTCACCCTCTTTAACTATTCACGCTGTTTGAGTGTATTTCTTTATTTTAACTCGGTTTTGTACCAAGTTGCGGCTTTGCTTCCAGCTAGCATAGCTCGCTAGCAGCAGCAGTGCTATTTATTTAACAGCCGTTTTTAGCCGTTTAAGTCATTAAAGCTTTACTACGCTGCGCTTTTTATCATATCTATTGTGAAAGATAATCTGTTATTTTTTATTTTACATATTTATTTTCTTATTAACTGTATTAGCCAGCATGTATAGGAACTTTTTGGCCTCTGAACGTGTTGGACGCCCCCCCCAAGTTTGGAGTTAAAAATCACAGATTCTCTCTCTGCTAGTTTGTTACCAGTTATTTATTATTTTATTATTTTCAGAAAATTTAATTAAAATTCCAGTCTGAAAAACTGCAGTATTTTAAAAGCTATTGCTACAGTGTTATGTATGAAAATATAAGAACTAAAAAAAAGTTTTTTAGTTCAAAATACCTTTGATTACATCTCAGATAACAACAGAGATGGAAATGGATAAAACTTTATGATTAAATCTTATTTAAATGCATCTCTTATGGAAAAGGAAAATGTGACAGAACCATATTTTTTTATGCATGTAAATGTTTATTTTGGTGCTGGTTGGTTACTTTGATTTTTAACTAATTGTTCTGTGTAAATAAGTTCATATTGTTCCAGTCTAGGCATGGGTGACATTACTGTATTATAACCTTGTTTGCTTTTATTTGCTACAGTTTTACAATATCACCATATATTCACACAGAAGTTTGAAACTAAAATGCACATTTAATTAAATGTTGTATCAAAAGAAAACTAATATTCCTACTTAAATAATATTCAGTTATTTATTATAACGATTAAAGTAAGGTTATCTGAAAAGATTATTGTAATATCTTTTTGGACTTTAATTAAACTGTTTTAAAAAATCAGGTTTTTCCTTTTTTTTATCAGATGAATAAAGGAGTGGCTGGTTAGTCAGGCTATCTGCTCATATAGCGTATGCAGCTGCTTGTTAAACAGTCTAATTTAGTTTTATGTAACCAGATTGCAAGAAAAAAGGGTTCTTTGCCTTCTTTAAGCCAGCTGACTGGCAGTTTGTAGCTATACCAGAGGCATGAGTAGTTTTAAGTTAGTCAGAAGAAAGTCCAACATTTTCTCTGGTATCCCATTTAAAAGTGTGAGACTTTTTTCTTTTTTTGCTGTTGTGAAACTATAACTTGATTTAATGAGACACATAACCACACAGATGTATTTCAGATTGATTTTTGTAATTTGTATATATTCATCGTAACCTGCTTGTTTCAGTGGAAAATGAGTGTTTGGTATCTTAACATCGCTTGAGATTATGTTTAGGATAGTGTACACTGTGCCTCTCATTTAAAGATCATTAAAACAAAATTGTCTCTGTTTGGCTTTCAGACTATTGTTTAGTTTTCCAGCAACATACTATAAGGCACCATTTATAAATTACTCTTCTCTTTGTTTATTTTTTTTATATGGATGGATAAAATGAGTGATGATAGACAGATTAAGGAGAGCATTTAGAGATAAGGAAGTTCATTAATGCCATTGTTAGATATTTGTTATACAGCTGAATGTTGATAAAGCATTTTCTTTTCAAGTAGCCAACATTTCAAATATGTATTTTTGATACTTTTACATCCGTCCTATTTTAAAAAAAAATGTATTTTTAAAAAGTTATTTAAGGGAAAGGTATTAGATAACTTAAACAACATTGAAAAGTTTGTTTTAACTCAACGGTTGTTCTTTTTATCATACTCCCTTACATGATCTCAGGAAAACAGTTGATTTCTCTGATCTTGAATCATCTGCCTCAGCCATCAGTATAATCATGGATTAAATAAACTCTTTTCTCTTCATATAATCCACATTTACTCAATAGTAGGGGACTGTTTGGGAATTTACTTTCCTTTTTTTCGTCCCCCCCCTTTTGTTTACCACAAGGCCTTCACACTTCCTGGTAGGTATTTAAGTGCCAGAGCATAAAGACCCTTCAGGGAGATGCAGGGTTGTTGATGGCTGGGCAGGCTCTGATTGTCAAAAACTGTCTGTCACAGCAGACTCCAGTGACCTCGCGGCAAGGCTGGAATTCAGAAGAGGGATGCATTTAACGTGACCTCTCACTCTGCATCATAGATTTATTCAAGCTTAGTTTTAAGTGCGTGACTGTGAAATGCATTAATAAGTTCTGGTGCTGTTCGTCTTTGTTTGGCCCGTTGGAATGTTAGATGGAGCTTGGGAGTGAACAGAGTATTCTGTTGCAGCGCTTGGAGTGCACCCTGTCAGAACTGCCTCCAGCCTCGTCGTAAAAAGTGATGCATGTGTTTGAGATTCTGGCTGATTCTGTTCCAGAATGGAAATATTTCCAGCTCACAGCTATCCCAGTCAGCACAGACATCTTCTCCAAAAACAACCATAAAACTCAAATAACCCTGATAAATCCTCATACTCCTGTCACCCTTCCAAGTGCTAGGTGTATTTCTTTATGTCTCGGTAACAAATAACCTGTTTGTGGACCCATTACTAAAACTCAAGCACAGAGTTTAGGTTGCTCAAGCTAAATATCACTTGACGGGCTTCCAGGTGGGACTGGAAGTCGCTGAACTTTGTGGTATTCTGCTTTTAGTCTAACGTTGCTGTGTAGCAAGTTTGATATGTGTGTGTATATATATATATATATATATATATATATATATATATATATATATATATATATATATACACACACACACATATCAGTCAGGTAACATTCAAATGAACCACATTTGAACACCCTGAGGCAAACTAGCCTTGGTAAGATTATTTTTGTAGTAAAGTTGTTTCTGTTGAAGAAAGAAATGTTCTTGGTGCACAGTGGGAGTTCAGGCACTTGTGGGCTCACACATTTGGGGTTTTCAGAGGATGAACATGCTAGCTGAGAAGTTTGTTGCCTTAGGGCTGAGGTAACTTATCAGTAAATGTCGGATAGATACTTGCTGAATACATTAAGAGATTTTAAAGCGTGTTTGAAGGCAGGATTTCTTAAAAAGGAGCAGCAGAGGATTAATCTACAGCATAATTGGCAAATTTTTTGTCTTTAAAGGTGCAATGATCCAAGTTTTGTGGCAGTTTTTTTCCCTACTTCTACTGGTTTTAGCAAACACAGAAGTGATTTCTTCTCCCGATGCACCATTCAGCGTTTCTCTCAAGTTATTCTGCCATTTGCAGTAATCCAGAATGTATGTTAAAAGCAACAGTGATGTCACAATGGGTGTGTAAAAGAGCAGCCAATGCAAACATTGTTTATTTTTTGTTTCAAATGAAGACATGATAGGTGCAAGGATTGGGGAATTAATTGCATTTGCAATATGATCAAAATCCTACAAAATGCAATTTTCAAATTGCAGAAGTACTTAACTTTGCCCTGGTTACATATAAAAACACTAAAAGACTTTTTATTTTTTACTCCAGCCCATTAGATGGTGGTAATATCTTTTAGGTGGGTTTTGCTACCTTAAAAAAAAAAAAAAGTGAGAAAGTTATCACCAGCTATGCACACAAGTAGAAGTGAGCACTTCTCCAAACAAAGATTACAGTAACGTCCTGCAAACAAAGGATTTTGGACAAGGAATCTTTCAATGTCATGAAAAACCTCAAACCCTGTAATAAATCTTTGACATGCTTGTTACTACAAAGGAAAATTACAATAACAGTATTGGTTGAAAATAATTGCAATTTAGATTATTTTTTTGGGGGAAAATCGTCAGCCTTCGATTTTACATTTTGTACTTTTGAATAATCTAATTAGCATTACTAAAGCAAGAGTATCTGTGTATAAAAGTATATTTTTGTTGTAAAAATATACCTATATATACTTACTGAAAAATATATTTTTTTGGAACCAGTCATTATTCCAGGTTGAAAGCAACACATTTTTGATCAGCAGCACATTAGTGGTTTATCTGTAAATGTTTTGTTTTGTTTTGTCTTCCAGCTCATTGCCAGCAGTGTCGAATCCAGCGGTGCAACGCAGAGTACGTAGGCTCTACCTCACCCGCCAATGGTCTTCAGGAAGAAGTGGCTTTAGATGTGGATTATTGCATCGCCCTACGGGCCTACGCACAATGCACCCGCCGCCAGGCACGCAGCTGCCGTGGTGACCTGGTCTACCACTCTGCCGTTTTCCGCATTAAGGAGCTTTTTGCCCAGCACAACTGCTCCAGCGACGGCCCCACCTCCTCTGCCAAGGTGCCCAGCACATCTAGGCCCGGCGTGTCAGAGCTCTGCGACTACGAGAATCGGAGCCTTTTGTCGGCCTCATCGGGTCAGCAGAAGAAATACGCCCACTGTGGATTATTTGGAGACCCGCACCTAAGGACTTTCCGGAACGAGTTTCAGACGTGCAAAGTGGAGGGGGCGTGGCCTCTGATTGATAACCGCTTCCTGTCGGTACAGGTGACCAATGTACCCGTCGTCCTTGGTTCCAGCGCTACAGCAACTAGCAAGGTGAGCAGGAGGCTGGAACAGTCTAAAACTTTTTGTTTCCTTTCACCCTACGACAAACCTAATTTTTTGATTCAAGTAGAGCAAAAGAAACCTTTTAAAATCCCTTGAATACATATTTAGAGATCCACAAATATTCCTCTATGAATGCCAGTAAATTACAAACAGCACATATAACAGTAAGTTGAAATTAGCATGCTAGCTCACAATGCTGCCGTTAGTGGCCTCAAACATACGAAGTGAATGGCTGGTGCCTCTCTAGTCTGACACATTCCTTGCAACTTGGAGCTTCTTTAGGTTCCTGAGGGGAGTGGGGGTGAAAGGAGGAGTCCTTCGCTGGTGTTGAATCACAGACATGCATCAGTGCTCTACCTTTAACACATGGGTGGTCATATGGTAGTGATTAACGCTCACTCCAACATTTTCCTCCACCGCCACGATCTGGAATGTTTTTTCACCCCTCTGGTCAAATAATTAACTTTGTGCTTTTTGTGTAAATATTGCAGGGTTTGGAAAAATAAAGGAATTATTGGCCAACAGGGAGCAGTTTTGATTTTGTTTTCTAAAAGAGACTTCAGGCAAAATTTTCTTTACATGTTTTTTTTTTTTTTTTGTATCTTTAAAGCTTTAATGAGGTTATCTCTCTTATAGTTATGTTTCACATCTCTCTTTTCTTGGGAATTTCTTAAAATATGTTAAAGAGCAAACGAAGCAAAAGAAAAAAAACACACATACAGAGAAAATCCTGCCATATGAGATTTTAGACCCATGTTATGTCTGTGCTGTCTAAATTCTTACTGTGTCAGTATAGAAGGTCAACATTTTGGTTTATTAACCATTTTTCATCTGGCAGAAAGCAATCTAAAAAAATCTAGTATTTCACTTAAGTGTAAATATGACCAAATACTTTCCTTTTTCTGTTACTAAAAAAATAACAAATTTAACAAAGTTTTAAAATATAAATTATTATATATCGGTGTTAAATGTCCCTACACTAAAAGCTTGAAGAGAAAATGTTTGATGCAATACTGTTGCAGGCTCGCCCAGGCGATAATTGGATTTCTGCTGCCACCTTGTGGCAAATAAGTGCATTTTTTTTTTTTTTTTGCTAAGTCCTGGCATACTGTTTTCTTTTCAAAGTATTTGAGAATGTTAAAGTGTGAATGTTTTATGTTTATAATTAATTTTATTTTCTTTTTTGAACTCATTTTCAGATCACTGTGATTTTTAAGACGTATCAAGGTTGCACAGAGCAGAAGGTGTACCAAGCCACAACTGAGGACTTGCCCCTGGCCTTTCAGGATGGGACTCGAAGTGGCGGTGAGAGCGGCAGTCTGACCATCATGGAGAGAGGAGGAGGCGGCGGCGTTGGCTCTGGAGTTGTTCGACAAGTAAAGATACAGGCCCGCTACATTGGTACCTCCATCATCATCAGGCGTGTAGGCATCTACTTGACCTTTGCCATCCGCATGCCGGAGGACACCCTGGACTTCTCTGAGGATAGCGGCGGCCTGCAGCTGTGCCTGCACGGCTGCCCGCGAAATGAGCTCATCAAGGAGCACACACTGGGCCGCCAGCAGCCGCGCCTGCAGGCCACAAACACAGAGCTTGGGCCGCTGCGGCCCCCTCACCAGATCTACACGGTGGAGCGTGCCACAGCCAAGTGTAGAGAGACTCTGCAGGTGGAGGATCTGTACTTTCAGTCCTGCGTGTTTGACTTGCTGACAACAGGAGACCCAGAGTTCTCTATGGCAGCCTATGGCGCTCTGGAGGATTTAAAGGCGTTGCCGCCCAGTAAACTGAAGCAGAATTCTCCAAGGACTCCTCCGGTTTTTAACAACGGAGCAACACAGACGCTGTCTGCACCAGCATTCAACAGCTCCTTGCTGCCACTCCTGTTTCTCATTCTACTGCTTTTGTAAGAAAAAAAAAGACTCAGAAATATAAAGTAGAGAATGGACATAAAGAAGACATGGTGGCATTACCAGCTTGAGGAAAGAGTGACTAGAACAACAATTTATCTTCATGGGGGATGAGGACGGTACGATCAGGGTCTTCCATTTTTCTTAATTGAAGGATCTCCGTTTAAAAAGTTGACATTTGTGTGGATTTATAGCAATATTAAATCATTTTAAGAAGAAGTGCAACTAACCAAGTGTTAGTTTCACTTGGAAACAAATTAATCATCAAAGCTTCTATTAAAGTTTAACCCCAGACTTGTCAAACTGACCTTGAAAGTAACAGACAAGGTTTATTGTAAATATTTCATGTTTCTGATCATGTCTGCTCTTCAACACTCTATTGAAAAGTCACTTCATTTGTCAGTTTTTGTTTTATTTTTATGGAAGAGCGATGTTGCCTCCAAATCCCATTTAATCCAGTTATCAGAGTAGCACTTACTGTTTTAGCGGCAATTGTTGAGAATTAAATGGGTTTTTATGTCTTTAATCTGTTGATCCACAAATTGGCAAACAAATACACAGGATCCAACAACTGTACATGGAAAAAACTACCTATCCTTTAATAATAATAATGTTTGATATTTAAACATTTCTCATCTTTTGTTTAACACTCCCTCTTCAAGCTGTTCAGCTTCCAGTTTTAAACATAAAAAAAAACAAATCTTTATATAATAATATATTTAAAGAGTGTATATATGTCTTTTATATTATGTAAATACCTTGTATAGATGTTTTAACTGTAAAATGTTTTACATTTGATGTGTTTAACTAGGTTACTATGAGTTATTGTAAGAAATGTTGACTAATATGTGTCGTGCTGTATCATTAATTATCTGTATTAAAGTGGAGGACACTCCATAGTGGGACATTGTCTCTTCTTTTTTCTTCTTGGCTTTATTGTTTCGTTCAAAGACGTTTGTTTTCAGACATAAACAGATCTGGTAAAAATCAGGTGAACACTATATTTTCAGTAGTTCGATTTAATAGTTAATTGGATATTACACAAATATTTCACATTTTGATTTATAGTTTTTCTGTGTGTCTAATTTGTGAAAATATGGCTACTCTATAGTTTTGAAAATTTAGATTTTTACACATACTGGTATCATGCAGATTTCTTCCTTCCACTTAACTTTAAAATGACATCCTCGGATACAGGTGCCGTCTTTAGAAAATTAGCTTTTTTTTTTACTTTTTCTCCACTGTCTTCTGGACAGCTGTCGAGAAACTAGTCCTCATTTTCTAAGATATAAGAATTTTACACTAAAACTATTTTGAATTTACTTATTTATTTTTAATTTGAATGACTGAAAAAGATTTCAACACTAATCTCATTTTTCATGACGCCCCTGCTTGATGTCGCAGGAAAAGTAGGGGCTTTTTGCAGTTCTGGTACCGTTTTTCTCTCTTTGCTTTTGGCAGATAAGGTCAGTATTCCTGATTAGTCCTGCAAAACTAATCAAGAAACATCAGTTCTGCAGTTAATGGTGTAATTACAATACCACCTGTTGAAGTCTATAAGAGCTGCCAGCTTTCAGGATGAGCTCCAGTTTTTACCAGATGACCAAGCATTTACCATACCTGCAGGTTGTTTTAATGCTAGATTGGGGGTTGATTTACATCAATCACTGTGTGAGGCCAACAGTCACCCGTTAATGCACAAATTCACTTCTTAAGAGAATTTACTGTGCATGGATATTTTCCATGCACAGCAGTGCTGTGCAAACGCTTTGCAGAAAGACTCAAGGGCGTTCAACTCAGGATCTTGTTGCAAGGAAACTATTCTAGTATCTGCTACAGTCTTAATTCTTGCCACCATTTTTTTCTTCCAGTAAACTTTCCATTAGCATGCTTGTGTTTCGCTCTCTAAATTGTATTGCATCAAATAAGGTTTTGCGGTTTAGCTTTCATGTCAAGTCATACATCTATCGCCTTGATTCTAACCACCACGTTACATTTTCAGATAATTTAAATTTTTTTGAGACACTTTCATTTTAAGTTGTAATCAGTAAGGGATAGCAGGCCTACATGCTTAGGATATATTTTGAATGTGAAATTGACTTAAATCAGTTTTATATTTTGAGCTGATTAAAATAAAATGACTTTGAAATGATTATCAGTTTCATTAAAATGTACGTGCAGTTATGAAACATTAACTAAATAATGACAATCAGGTGAGAAGCTTAAATGAAGAGAAATTTCTCTTGCTGTTATAGTTCACTTGTAATTTTTTTTTCTACAGAACCATTAAAGATACATTTGCTATTGGGTCAAACTAAATCCTCTTTAACCAACAAAGTTCTTGCAATGCTGTCTGTGACCTGGTGGTGTCCTTAGTCTACAAGGTCTACACAATTGCAGTACAAACCCAGTTTTGACACGCTGGCTGTGTCGCTGTAGGGTTCCAAAGTATGTCCCAGTCCCCTGTGAAAATGTTACTTTTGAGTGCTGAGTTGGCTGCTGGCTTTGCTTTTGTCTGCAGGAGCAATGCATGGCCGGCTCCTCCTAGGATTCAGACCACGGTTAATGTGTCAGAGTCCACAGCATCTGTACACGACGACCATATTTGCACTATGTATAAAAACTGAGTGCTATGATTAGAGAGAGGGCTGTGATCAGTTTTAATTTCCATTAAAAATGCAATTAAGGAAGCTTGAGCAGACTCCTCATGAAGACATTAAGAATTAATGCTCCATAACCAACGGACGTGAATGTAATTTATATTGGATTGAGTTAAAGGTAACCTGATTCTGGTAATGCTCTTGATTGACATCAAATGTCATCACATGTGCCATCATTCTTTATCCCTCTGTGTCCTATTTAAATAAAGGCAACATGACGGAGAGGTCTGCCGGATGTGGGAGATGGCAGATGAAAGGTTTCATTTTTTACTCTTTCACACGTGAAGCACAGTCCAGATGGCCTAAATAAGGTCTCTCTTGGGTGACTTCATCACCTCAGTCTTAATATCAAGAGGAAGTTGGAGGAAGATTGAAAAGGAGCAAGGCCATTTTGGAAAGGAAGCAGACTTTGTCCCGTTTTTTTCCTGATGCAGTTTGGTGATGAAAGCTGGTCAATTCACTAAAATATAGAGTCTCGCTGCTTAATATTACCTAACTCTTTTGATTCCATGCATATTTACTCATCTGCCTTTTAATTCAGAGCATTTACTCATCTTCACCTAGGGCAACATTTTTTTTTTTAAACTAAGTAGCAGTGGCTCCCGCTGGTTTCTCAGCAGGAACCAATGAGGCTCAAGCTTACCTAAACAGTAGAAACTGCTGGAACAGCAGTGACTGTTCAGAGGGGAAGGAGTTCAACATTAACACAGAACGAAAGTCATCTTCAAGTTCAAGAGAAACATCAAAAGGATATTCAGGGCAGATCAAGGAGTGATGTGAAAAGCAATCACTTTACCAATAGCTTCACTTTATAGGACTCTGTTGCTGCTAGTGTAATGATCTTGGCACTGATAACTGATTTAATTACTAATTTCATACACCTGTCTAACATTGCCAGTTTCTCATTAGTGATCTTCTGATACACCTGCTCATGCCTCTATTTAAACTGCCTGCTACTAGTCATCAGGGCCAGATTATTTTTTTTTTTTTGAGCCAGTGGGGAGAGTGTGTCCGGTGTTACCTTAGTGTTTCTAATTTCCTTGTCTGCCTCTCAACCACTGAGACTTCCTGTTCCTGTTCTGATCTGTTTGCCTGAACTGGCTTTGGATTCCTGGACCTCTGAGAACTTGTTCGTTTTGTGTTCTGATTGCCTGACCTGGCTTCAGACTCCTGCTTGTTCTCTGGGGCTGCAGCATCTGGGACACTGGGCGGCGCGCGCGCGTCTTAATGGCAGCCCACCGGCTCGATATTACCTTTCTCTGGGTATGGACTGAACTGTTAAACTAGGTTAGTGACTCACGCGTTAATAATCATCCTCCTTCTTATTATCGTGGTCACTAACCTGTGTTTCTCTCCTGCAGAGTTTCCTGCCTCAGATGCCCTAGCAGGTGCTACTGTAGATCTGCAGTTTATTTCAATAAAAGCTTTTTGAAGTTATCCAACTGTCTGTCTTGCCTTGAATAGTAGTTCCTCTGTTTTGAGCCACGACAGCAAGTGTTAGTGGTGAATTTAACCAATAAAGAAGTAGAAGTATCATCAAAAATCCTTCACTCTTAATTCAAATAAACATCTGCATGACTAACGCCTGGCCATAGCTTGAAGTATTCTGCTTAAACGGCCAATAACTCCAAGAACAACAGTCTATTTCCTAAAAATGTATCGATAATGCCTGAAAGTCTTGAATTGTTGCATATTTGTGAATTCACAAACTCCTGAAAAAAGTTTTTGCCTGAAGCCGATAGATTCATTAGTCTCAAATAAAAAAATGTTTTGGACCAGTGAAATGAAGGGACATGTTTGACATCAACCAGAAGACTTAAGCAGCACAAAGATGGCTGCGCCGGTGGACGTACCTGTAGACTCCGCTATTCAGTCTGTTTTAGCCGGAATACCCTCCGTTTCTAATTTGATGAATGGGCAAAAAGACAAAATGTGTGCCTTTGTGGAAGATAAAGAAATGTTGGCGAACATCCGACCTGGATTTGATTTATCAGTTATCTCCACTAATTGTGAAACAAATCAAGAATGGGATACATCACAGCCGCTACTGATTGGCTTTACCCAATCAGCTCAAAGACAGGTACAGGGAGTGTCCCTCCCTTTTTGTGAACACATTCCAAAGGAACATTTCCAGATGAATACTGTGGAGAATTCATAATAAACTTCACATATAAATCTGGCTTATGTCATGTTACCAGAATTCCCATCTGTACCAGAAAAACAGCTGATTTACACAATGATGGGAAGAGTGGGAAGAAATACAGCCACAGAAGCCATTAATTGGGCTGTTAGTCCATCTGAATAGTCCAACATGTATGTATAATTTTGATGAGAAGGTTAACGTTAACTCAATGAAAGAAAAGCTTAACATTCCAATTCAACTCATAAAACTGGTACAATGTCTTTAAAACAATAATATACTGTTTAGATGGTGAAACGTTCATCAGAACAGTCAAATAACAGATCTTAGAGTTTGAATTTGTTTCAGAGATTTAGCTACGATTCTGATGTCCTCATTTGGACACACTAATCTAACTTCACCAGTCTTTTCTGTTTCTTTATGTTTTCCATCCTAACTTTAATGATAACATTTTCTAACCCCCCCTTATTGGCTGAGGAAAAGACAAGAACAAAACTTAAAAAGCTGCAAGTCCCTGTTCATGACTCATATCATCTGTTGAGACGCAGCCATCTGACAGGACTGTCAGGCAGCAGAGCTTTGTACAATAAACCCATGTGAGAGCTCCCTCAGTCTGATGAAAGGCGGCGGAGCTGTCTGACAACTTGGAAACATTTCAAACTGGGGATCTCAGATTTTTTTATTTTTTTTTCATCCATTTTTGAAAATTGGAACTGAAGCATAAGTCAAGCCGTCCACTCTGAAGTAACTTTAATGGAGTTCTTGTCTCTGTATTTGCAA